CTGTAACCCACATTATTTCCTTAGGGATTAATAAAGTATTCTGATTCTGATTGGTTCAGGATGACCTGCCATTATCCAATTACACATCTGCTTACCTGCATCTTTTGCTCGTTTCTCTTCCTCTTCTTTTCTATTTTTTCTAAACTGAGGACCTGATGGATTTGAACTTTTCTTGTCCATCTTGGTTTTCATTTTGCACTCCAGTATGAACAAACATTCCCCAACCCGAGGATCACCACAACATAACCTAATAGACCAACACCTTAGTTCACAGATTCACTTTGTCTAAGGTGTATTTCTGGGATTTCACACAACCCAGGATTCAAATCATGAATACATAATTTACAACATTATGAATGAAATGTGCTCTACTTGGAAGCAGCCGGCCCCCCTCCCCTTTCGACGGGTTGTGTGCGAGACTTTAAATCATCAAACTGTAAATTATACATTTTAAATTGTTATTGATCCTTTACCCCTGGTCCTAAAGTGTATATTTATTTTCTTACTCTTCTTATTGTTTGTTTAACTGCACTGCTGTAACTGGAGCCTCGTCGTCTCTCTATATACTGGACTGTATGTAGCAGAGATGACAATAAAGTTTACTTTGACTTCAGCAGCGAGCAGGCGCACCGAGGGCTCTCGCGCTCACTTTTCTCGTATAGAATTTCGTGCAGATTATAAGTCTGTATCATGATGTCTGTTGTTTTCGTGTTTGTTGTTTTGTTTTATTTTGCAAGTTGGTTATTAGATGCTGCTCCAGCCGGTCAGAGAATCCCCCGCCGCCCCGCCCTCTCCTCCCTGTGCCGCAAGCAGCAGGCGCACCTCGCAAACGTAGGGCGCCCTTACACCCAGCAAATGGGCGATAGAAAACCGATCGGTGCCTCTGCCATTCCCAGTATGCGCTGGCTGATGTCGGGTCAGCATGAGTACGAGCAAATGTTTTGTTTTTTTTGTGCCAATGCCCGTGATGCCGCCCCGTACCACGATGCCACCCCGGGCAACCGCCCGTTTCGCCCGTATCAAAAACCGCTACTGCAAATACCCAGGAAAACACTCAATGGTTGATACGATTTTCAGCAGCACAGGGGGAAAATTTGACCCCATCCCACAACAACAGAAGTAACGGCAAAGAAGTGACACCTCGGAAAATGTATCAGTGCGTTATTGTAAAAACAGAAAAGTTCAAGTTGCCTCAACCTGCCCCCCGTTCACTCTGCTCCACCTCAAACTGCAGCTCTTCAGCCTACAACTGTCGCCTGCTCCAGATTTCACTCTGTATTTGCTCGGATTAGCTCTCCACACTCTGTTCAGCTCAGCTGCAGCCTCCCCTCTGCTCTGCACAGCTAATGCTCATATGCATGGCAGCTAGGTTAACATTTTTGATAATAGTTTAATATTTCAGTTGAAATGAGAGTTTTACTGAGCTCTGAGTTTAAGTGTTAAGCATGTTAACTACATCAGCTGTCGGGGTGGAGGAGCTGTGGGCCTCTCTGTCTGCAGCAGTTGTGTGTGAAGTTGTGTGTCAGCTGCAGGAGGCAATGATGAGGCTGTTGGCACTGACACTGTCGCAGGGCTGAACTGAGAGAAGCATCCAAAAATGAAATGACTGTGCAACATCTGTAGGGTCCATGTATCACATGATGCTACCAGTAGTGACACCAACCCTAGCCAACCCCCTCTGCTGCTTAACAGACCAGATCAATAACCCAGCAGTCTGATTGGCCTGATGCTACAGTATGATAACAAATAGTTGTGTTTTTACACATACAGCAGTTATTAAGATCTATATTACAAATCTTTATACTTTTGCATATATCATAACCATTTGATCGTTTGTGTTTCTCTTCCGTGTCATCTTAAACGTTCACTGCCTGCATGTAACGTAAGGGTCGCCAAAATCTGCATCGTGACACAATTTTGTTCACATGACCACAAAATACAGAGAGAAGGTTCTGAAAAAGCCCTGCAGGCCTGGCAGAAATCGCCTGCTAGTTACATACAAAATATGACTCTTTATGTCCTAATGTTGTGGTTTTTATGATTAAAAGACATCCCTGCTCCCGAAGATGGCTGCACAGTATCTATCACAGCGTCGTCCCCTCCCACAGGAAGCTGCATTTTCCTGTCTCCACACTCGGCACACACACGCAGGCTGTACAGGTTACTGGCAAACCCGGTTTTTAATATGTTAACAATAAACAGCAGAGCTTCAAGATAAATGCTTCAATGAGAACATAACCCTTCTGCCTAAAAAATAAATATGATATCAAAATACTTCACCAGATGAATATTTATTAAGTGACAGCTTTAGGTCTTTTTTGTTCCACAGATAAATGACTTCAAAGAGATTTAAGAAAACAAAGCAAGTCACAATGTGCAAAAAATACACAGTATTAGCTCTGATAATAAGTCTAAAAAGGTGTAAAATCATAAAAGTATTATTTTTATTAAATTAAATTACACATAAGACAAGAATTAGTATTTAACATAGTGCACAAGCATCGTCTGTGTTGAATACAAAAACTGGTACAACTGGAAATAACGTACTAATAATTATATATTAATAGTTTTATAATAATTCATACATTCAAAATTTAATGATGAGCAAACAAAAGGAAACTAGCAACACGGCTGCACAGCCTGATGCTCCACGAACAAAAGCATGCTCTAACGTTCAGCTTTGTTTCTACCCCAAAGTCCCCCACAGCGGGGATAGTGACACTCCACTCAAGTCACCCACTCAAATGAAATATAAATCCACTTGCATTAAATAACTGTCTTTCACAGCAGTGTTTATCTTCCTCACAGCTACCAGAGATAAAGAAATCTTCAGTTTGGTTTAAGCAAGAGTGCAGCCTGAGTACAGTGTAGGTGCTGGGACACGAGCTAGAAACTCACCTTATTATTACCTGTAAAGATTTCTAACTTGAGTGCAAAATAACAGGTTGGAATAATAGGAACAAATTAAAGTGAAAATAATCGTCTTGAATCCTCTATGCTCGCCAAAGCAGCAAAGCAGCAAAGCAACCAGAGTTTGGATCCAGAAATGTGCAGAGCCAGAATCACTTACAGATATTAACTTGTGTGATAAAACTGCACGCACATGCAAGTTTTATTAAATGAACACATTCAGTAAAACCTGCAGCGCTGATTAAACTTTGGCAATCATTCCACTGACATTGTATAAGGACTGAGTGCTGTCTGCTGCCAAAATAGCTTTTACTGTTATGACTTGGAAAAGAAATACATTCAAGCTACCGAGACCTGCAGATACAGAGAGGCAGGAGAAAATGGTTGCTTTGTTTTTAACTGCAGATATCATTCATTAAGGCAGGACTGGCTTGGTTTCAGGCTTTAGTGCTCTCGCTTCTCTTCCACTTTGAATGTGGTGCCAGCACATGTTACCAATCTGAATTATGGATCTATAGATTTCTGCTTAAAGCTGAAAGAAATTCAACTTGTGGAAGCTTCAGTGCATTAGTGCAGGATCAGCCTATCACATCATGTTTATCCAAATCCTCCAGCACGGCCGTTAGCCAAGCAAATCACATTATGCAGAGATCCTGAAAAAGTCATGTAGCCTCTTATAATTTAGCATCACATTGAGAAAACAGGAGAAAATGATAACAGGGGGAGTAAATAATCAGCTTCTTATAGGAACACAATTTCTAGCAGGCAGCTAGCTTGACTAATTTTACCTCCTAATCGAAACTCGGCTAACTCGCCTTCTCATGACTGATTATGGCAATAATATGACGGTCAGTCTGGGCCTCTGTTGGTCACAAGATCAACATCTGTCCCTGTTTAGTTTCTGCCATCATACCACAACCAGTTTTGAATGGCGAGAAACAGCCTTGAAATCTGATGAAAAACACAAATTTGTTACTGTCAGCATGACTTAATAGGAGGAATATAACATTTCTGCAACAGATGCATTGTATAAACTCTTTGGATGTGCATGAAACACCCTGGAAAGAAACTTTAAAACAGTGCATGATTTTTAACCTTAGCCAAGTATTTTAATGCTTAAACCTAAATGAGAACTTACTGTACTTAAATCTAAACGAGTTATTTTTAGTGTGTATTAATAATAATTCATTTAGAAACGTACTAATAGTGTATTACAGAATAATATATGTGAAATGTAAACATCTGTCACATGTATGACCGGAACTGTGGTCTCTGTAGTTGTTCATCAGATAACGGATTAATCTGTGCCCATAAATGCAAATCAACAGATCAGAAGTCGTGACTATTTTCTGAAGCGCACGGAGCCTGTGTTTGACCAGTGCTGCTGTTTCACCCACTGCTTTGACCACATACGAATCTAATGCTGTCAAATACATTTTGCTAAAAGGGAATAAAATTATCAAGCAACAACACTGCCACTGGTTCAAATGTTGTACTGTTAGAGAGGTGTACATTTAATGCAAAGAAAAAGAAGCATTTTGTATCAGCAATGTTCTAAAAACACCATCATACCTGCACAGACGCACCTTTACAGACACGGTTCTGCAAACCAAACAAAGTTACAGTAGAATTTTACTAAAATCTCTTACATATTTGCCACAATATGAGCCCGGATGGTATCCTGCCATGTTTCCCGAGCTCTGTAGTTCTGCTTACAGACACGGGAGCCTTAAAGTGCCAGTATGTAACACTGAGTTTGGCCTGGCGCTCTGCCCGTGCCGGAGCACCGCATCTACAGCACACAGTCTAACCCGGTACCGGTGTTGTGGAGCAAAAAGAAAAAAGGAAAGGCCTGTAACCATGACCACCTTTGATGTAGCAACGATTAAACGGAATAACGTCAGTCGTGCAACACAAATGCTGGTGACTTATTGCTCGAGTTTGAGAGCAGCTTCCTCGGTGTCAGAAATCAAAGACGCACACAGAGCGCAGAAATGCTTCATTGTTATGGTTTTAATATAGCGCTGCCTCTTCGTGTCAGCTGTCAAGTGGCTCGCTGAATAATAATAGCTTCAGTTTTTCGGTCTTACCCGCCTATTCCTTCGAAGAGAACCCGAGGCGACGACTTGGTGCCTGCTGTCTTTCTTTCCTTGCTCTGCCTGGGCGGCGATAATTACCCCGAAGAAAAGCAGAGGCTGTGAAAATGTCGATAGTAGCGCATTAAAGCAGCGGCGAGTTTACGGACACACTCGGTCGGTTAGACCGTAAAGCACTGACAGTAGGGGGAGACTGCTCCTAATAAATACCGCTTGTAAACATGGAGCTGACAGTTACTCTCGCGAGAGCACCTGTAGTGCTTTAAACTACTCCCCGATGAAAAAACCCACATATGGTGCCAAATTAGACACGTCTAAAATAAAGTGTCTGTGCAGAGACCAAAGAACTCATGGCTACATATCGTACACTATGCATCAAGCTGCAGATTCATGTAAATATTATTTCCTTTTATTTCCGTTAGGTTTTGTTACTCTTTCTGCCTTCACATCACTAAAAACTCAGCAAGGCCCTTGGTTGGCTGCTTGTTTTAGGAAGGACCACCCAGCTTCTGTTTCCATGGCAAATGATAAAAGCAGAAAATGATATATACTGTGAATTGAATTTTGTAAATATACACTCAGAGTTATGCATACCTGTGAAATCTAATGAAATCCAGTATGAGAGCTCTACCACATATTCTACTGTCACCCACCACATGTTTTTGCCACGTTATAGAAGAAAGATTGAGGCACCTACTGTGGCAGACACGAGGCTACTGAAAAAGCCAGTCTGAGTCATAGTTTGTGTTTTGTCTTTGTCTCTCTATCTACATTCCTGCTTACTGTCCCCAAATGCTTCTTCATATTGATGATCCTTGGCAGTCTGATTGTCTAACATCCGTCAGCTATCGATCGATTGCATTGATCCCTTTTCTGCCACTGATCCATATTGTGAGGGCAGCAGTCTACGTCGAGACCCAGAGGCCTTCCTTTCTGGGGACGCCACCCTAAAGCTGATTCTGTGGTCGAGCACAGAGAGCACGTTCGTCTGCCTGCAGCGAGCGCTGTTCTCAGAGGGAGGCAGTGCACAAAGTATGTGTTACAGCCGGTCTGTGGCCACTCTTGCTTGTGCTGTTGTCGCTCTGTCAGCCGGCCACAAAGGAGAGCAAAACTATAACACTTGAATTTGAATTTGACCTTATTGTGATCATAAATACATGAAATATAACGAGAGTAGGTGCCTTCCTTATGGTGATAATCATTCACACAATACACCATTGCATGTGGCATATAACACTATTGCATGAAAACACACATGTGTGGCATTATTGTACATCATAACAACTATTATATATGGTGCTAGGTGGTGAGTAATGCCCTGATGGCTATCAGATGGAAACTGTTCTCCAGCCTGGAACAAACTATGATGGGATGTGAGGAATCTTTTAAAATGTGGAGTTCACCAGCTGATGGTCTCCTGGGTATCTTTATTGTAGATTGTCCTCTTCTTGTAGTCCCTTTAGCCTTTGAATGCCTCTCTTTAGGTTGGTCCATGCCATGCTGTAGAGGGCCTTGTCACCAGACTTGATGTTCCTCTCTTGAAGCAGCTGCTGGACCTTCCTAGTCTTGGTTGGGAAAGACCCGGATGTGTTTCATCACAGTAACAGTCGGTGCAGGTCTTGAAATAGCATGCAAAGCGTTCAAGTGAAACCAGTGGTAAAAAGTGAAAAAGTGACCGTGCAACCACTCTTTGTGATTTTCATACTGTAGTTTTTTTTATCATTGAAGTTTTTTTGTTCCCAGTGAACATTATATTGGAGGACTGCATGGAAGAACATCTTGGATGGGTGAAAACCTCTCTCCGCCTCGGTCCGACCAACAAGTCTACACAGACGGACACATTTGTGGGACCATAAATTTAACCTCATTCCCAACAGCCAGTCTTGGCAGGATGGGACTGGACTGTTTGCCAGTCTACACGACGCTACACTCTCTCTACCCTGGAGATGCTAGAGATACACTACACGAGGGCCTATATCTTACAATAGCAGCTTGAAGCAACCGTTGTTGTGAAGTGGTGCACTATAATTAGCATGTGAGGAGTTTATACTGTCAGACTATGTCTGTCCCCAAAACTTAAAAGCATGTAGTAGAGTAAAATGTAACAAAAGTGGTATAAATAGTATATAATAGTAATGTCATTTTAAATTCTATGTTTATTAATAAGGTCAGAGTAGGTGGTTCACATTTCACAAACAGAGAGGCCGTCTGTCTCGTTGTAAGTTCATGTTTACATTTGAGCCTATAATACTTAAAAGAATGTTTTACAACCAGACACTCGTCTCAGACGGCTTTAACTCTGACTTTAGCTCTCCTGTCACAGATGTTCTGTAACTTGCACAGAAAGTTGAGGAATATATTGTCTGGTATGTGTTTCCGTGTGTGTTTGTTCAACTCGGCATCAGACACATTTCCACTTTTCCACAAATTTGCAAAAAAATTAACAAACACATAATAATTGAGCAGTAGGATACTCATTGGTTTTCCTTTATTTCACATAGAAAATATTTAAACACAGTAGTAATTACATCTATTCAATTCAATTCAATTCAATTCAATTTTATTTATATAGCGCCAAATCACAACAAAAGTCGCCTCAAGGCGCTCCATAGATACAGAGAAAAACCCAACAATCATATGACCCCCTATGAGCAAGCACGTTGGCGACAGTGGGAAGGAAAAACTCCCTTTTAACAGGAAGAAACCTCCAGCAGAACCAGGCTCAGGGAGGGGCGGGGCCATCTGCTGCGACCGGTTGGGGTGAGAGAAGGAAGACAGGATAAAGACATGCTGTGGAAGAGAGACAGAGGTTAATAACAGATATGATTCAATGCAGGGAGGTCTGTTAATACATAGTGAGTGAGAAAGGTGACTGGAAAGGAAAAACTCAATGCATCAGACATCTGAATGGTCTTTGTACATTAAACATTAGTTGCATTGTTTTTGATAAAATGAAAAACAAAAACCTTTCTCCTCTTGATTTCAGACCTCCAGCCAACATACAAAGAAGCCCACTGTGTGCTTTGCCTCCCACAGTCCCCAGACATGCATCTTAGGTTTAATTATTCTGGTAGGTTGTGGTCTAAAGCACTTTGAGTGAGACTAGAAAAAAGTTATATAAATGCAAGTAAAAATGCATGAATGCAAGTACATTGTATTGTTCACAACTTGCCAGTTTAACTTAGTTCTAATGAAGTGGTTGGATAGTTTTTTAAAACACAACCAGCTGTTCTATTTTTACATTAAGTACATATTCACATCACAGTGAAGATCCTTTGCAAAGCCAGCCATCCAGTGCATGCACACTGTTATAATAATAACATTGTTAACTCCATAAAACTACCACTCCTTCTAAATATGTATCAATACTTCAAAAGGTAGTTCACAGAACCACAATGTCAGTCAATGTTCATTGTTTGCACACAGTCAATGACAGACCAACATTCCTCTAATTCTAAGCGTGACTTCTGCTGCAGCTGTGGGATGTTTGTCAGGAAAGTTGTCTTCTATGAAAGTCAGCTGTTGCCTCTTTACAGCTTTTCTATTCGTGCAACAAACCCCCAGATAAAATCAGGAGGTTGAAAGTTTCTGCGTACGTATATTTACCATGAAAAAAGTGGTCGTTTGCTCTGTCAAACAGATCTAAGCAGCCCTGTGGCTTTGCATTAACATCAAGGAGTCTAATACTAATATCTGCAGCTGTATTAACGTAATTCAATACTAAACAGTTTACAGATGCAGTGGCTTGTTCGCAGGCAGAGTATAAAACTAATAGCAGTTGGCTGTTAGAGGCCCTGCTGCTCTGGGTTGGATCTTATTTATGGTTTTGTTGCTATACTGTCAACAAACACCTTCACATGAGCCCCTCAGCTGCCATCCTTCAAACCTTCACTATGTAATGTTTAAAATAATTCGACACTTGAACAAAGCTGTGCGGCTGCATGGCAGGGTTGGAATGAGTGACCTATAATCTAAATTAAGCAAATTTATTATTTTATAAATGCTAAATGGAGGTTCTTATATCGCACGTGACAAAACTTGCCTGATTCACCTTCTATCTAACTTAGACGAGGAGCAGACGAGGACTGAACCATCGACCTTCTAATTACTAAGTGACCTGCTCTACCTCCTGAGCTTTAGCCAAACCGTGTCAGGTGTGTTCATTTATTTCTTACAATAAATTCCCTACATGCGGCGGGTGTGGTTTGTGGCTCAGTTGCAGGGGAGGGGAGGGGTGGAGCAATCATCTCACCATGGCGCCCCTATAAAAGATGTGCTGGGACCTGAGGTGGACCACAGGTGGACCTGAGGTGGACAAGTGTGTGTGTGCTACAAAGAGGGCAGCTGTGTGCAACTGTAAACGCTGTTGGTGTGTCATTTCCACACTACACTTTTTAATGTTGGGTTTAATTTATGAATAATTTAAAACAAATAGAAGTTACATAGCTGAAAATCCATCCATGCATTTTCTTACATTTACCTGGAGCCTGGTCACAGCGGCAGCAGCCTAGGCAGAGAATCCCAGACCTCCCTCTCCCCAGCCACCTCCATCAGGCTGTTCCATGAGTTCATC